GACTAATATGCAGCTCCTGCTTGGCGAGGGAGAACAGTGCCTGGAGACTCACTTTTGCTTCAAGAAACACTGCAGAAACATACCAGGAAAACCTAAAGAATTCATAGACCCTTTGAAAGAACCAGCTCGCCACTGCAAACTCCATGAGACAGACCAAAAACTGTGAGTTCCCAAAGTATAAGGGGCAATATTTGGCCTTGATACACACATCCCCACTGGAGAACCTGAGAATCCAAATCACATTAGAAGGATTTAACCTTACCTACAGCTGAAATGAATTTAGGGAGCCAAGTGAAATATAAAAGTAGAAGAATCAGTAGGAAGAGCCCCAGAGGCACTCCTGGTCCCCAGCTCAAGCCCTGGGAAGCCATTCCTGGCATTATCGCATGAAGTTCTTTAGGGAAGGGAAAGCAGCCAGTGAAACTGGGGAGGGGCCACAGGATGAGGGAAGCTCCTAGCTAAACTTTGTAATAATTTTGACTGAGCACGAATTTTCTTGAGCAGAATCTGGGAGCAGGGTAAATGGGAAGTGCAGATATGAGCACAGAAGCCAATGCCGAAGGTGAGGGCAGGCAGGGAGGTGTGAGGCCTGAGAGCCCTGCTCACTTTTGCAGTGGGGAGGCTTGTAGCCTGGGACAAGAGCTCAGCCCTGCTCATGGGGCTGCCTGGATATAAACTCGTCTAAAGAAACTTTATTCTCATACTAAGCTAGCTAGATACCAGCCCAGGTCCTGAATATACAAAGAGCAGTACCCGAGGTCATTCTTGCCCTTCTGCATCTCATGACCTCAAATGAAAAAAGAAATTAATAAAATTACAATTAGATAAGTGCTATATGAAGATATCAACAATGTTGACTATCTTATGGTAAGCTTGCAAAGGTGTGGAAAGCGTGAAAGAGCATGCCACTTAGTTTTAGGGCACAGAGAGCTGACAGAAAGAAGTTGATAATCACAAGGTTGGCAGAGGCCAGATCATGAAGGATCTTTTATGATATGTGGGAAACTTTGGACTTGATCTAATACAAGAAAATATTCTTCTGGGTACAGCATGAAGAATGGATTGGAAGAGAGGTTAGGTTAGGCTAGGATTAAGGACTCTGTAATGGTGAAGGTCTGAACTAAATCCAAGCCAGTGGAAGGAAAATGAGAGGGATGTTGTGTAGAGAGATTTTAAAAAAGAAACAATGACAGAGATATAAAATGCTGAAGGAAAAACAAGGATCCAGGATGACTCCCAGCTTTATGATTCTAAAAACTGGGCATAATGTGGACCACTAATTACAGCAAAACAAAATGCTTAAGATTCCTAGATTCTAACAAGCCATTTATAATTTTAAAACGAAGGCTAATTGGTTTCCTGAAATAAGGCCTTTTTCTGATTTCTGGCATGTCTTTTTCTTTATTAAGTTTTGAGGGGCCAAATTATTACATTTCCCATAATACCTACCACAGTAATACCCCAAATTATAATCCTTTGTATGTATGTGTATAGAGCTTTTAATTTTTAAATAATTTTTAAAAGATTCTTTCATAAATATATTTTGTTCTCATAATGATTCTTCCAGTTATGCAATATAGACTTCATTATACACACTAGAAAGTTCGGGAAGCTAAGGAAAAAAAGGTGAAATTACCTGCTTATGACGACCAGCAAACAGAACAGCTGGGACTAGAATCTAGCTGTAATGATTTATAATCCTAGACCCTCCCCCTCCTCATTATGCCTTTGCTAATTATTGTCTATAAATGTGAACATAGACCATCGGTGGTGTGCTGGTAAATATTTAACAACTGACTTGGGAGTGAAGGGATGGACATTCTGCTTTGTAACTTTTGCCCATTTCCATGGTGTAAATACTCCTACTGTGGCTCATGCTATCAACTCGATGTTACTGTATACAGAGTTGGGAAGTGATACATATAGTTGAATCTTGCAAGCCAATAGAAGCCAGCTCCAAAACACCACTGAGTATGAAATACTTTCTAGTACCAGCTGATTCTAAGACTTTATCAGATGAAGTTAAGTTATTTAAGGTTACTATTTTCTAATATGACATACCTGTCTAATTTTTGTGAGTCCTCAGCTAAGTGCTTGGTATTTAACATGCTTGAATATAAAAAGGCAGGTACTGAAATGACCTCTAAGGAACCAGACCTCACTTGCCTTTTAAATCTATAAATAGAAGTAAATGCAGACTTATAATTGAATATTTAATTTTCCAGAATAACATAAATACTTAAAAATAATTATCTTATGTATATCCACATAATATTTGACTTGAATTATTTCACATGTTGATATATGATACCTGCATCATAAAACTAGCCAAAGTATGTTTTTAATAAATTAATAACAGACATATTAAAATACACAATGTAAAATTAGTTTCTTATAAAAATTACAGGTACTTTGACATTTTGAAAGTTTATGGCAAGATGTGTACTCTAACATTTGAAATAATGAAACTTTTAGGTTGTGATAACACAGTGACTGCAAGACAGCAAGAACATTAGTTCATTTTTAAATGCATCATTTTGAATTTAATAAGAGTCCTACTAAATAGCAGTGTAGCTCCTGAAACTAGATTACCACAGCAAGCAAGGATTCAGTCAGACTCTTGTCCACAACTCACTAGAGAACTATGTATACTCTTCAGCATCTTTTTTTTAAAAAAGTTATTGTTGATAGACCAAAAAGGATATCACTAAACTACATAAAATACAATTCATAAAAATTCCAATATAAATCTTGTACCATAAGGTAAAGGATGGGAAACCAAGCAGAAAATTTTAAATGGTCTTCCTTCAGAGATAATATGATTTCAAATGAGATTTGAATTTAGGCATTACATTATTTATTAAAATGTTAAAGGTGCAAGAAAATGTTTATACTACATAAAAAATTTAAAAAGTTACAGTTTTATATGCATAATTTCCATCATGTGCAAAATAGGCAGTCCTTGCTTTGCACAATTCTGAATGTATGAATTTCAGTTACTGTGTTTTAGTTAAATAACATCAGTCTCCCCCAACAACACTGTAGTCATGATATATTAATTGTGAATAATTTTGTAAACTACAAACTTCACTGCTAGCTCTTCAGTGCACAAATCACTGTATAAATAGCAGATACACATCATCATTAGTGACTAATTGCATCACTTCTTTCAAAGTGTTTTGGTGACTGGTAACTGTACATTTTAGTTAGTTATTTAGTTCACTTGCTGACAGTAAAACATGTGGTTGTCTTGCCTTGCCTCTCGGTGATAAGCCTATATAATTTTTTTAAAAAGTAGATAATCAAAAGAGGGAATTGGCTGACAGATAAAAATGCAGAAAGTGAGTGCTGGAAGTGAATTTGGATGTGCTATTAGACAGCTGATCATGGAAATATTGACACCTCTATTGTCTGAGAAGCTCTTAGAGAGGCAACAAAGGGAACTTAGTGAAGGTGAACTTAAATGACAAATAAGAAAAATGGTTGTGGTGAAATTATGTCACACAGAAAATGATGCTGCTGAAAAACTTCACATTAGAGGAACTCTCAGAAATACTTTATGACATTAAAAACACAAATGATAAAATGCTAAAACTGACCTAAATTTAGAAAGGAGTATAACAATTTACCGAAGCATAGAAAAGACATTTACTCAGTGTTTTAAGTTCTATGATAAAAAAAGGCAAGCACCATTTAAACTACTCTTGATACATTTTCTAAAAGAAATCAAACACTTTAATACTCAATAATTTTAGTCTTTTAAATTACAGTGTAATAAATTAGCTTAACAATATTTTTTATTTTTCTATGTATTTATAGTTGACAGAAAGTAATGTTTTAAGACATGTTTAAAAGGCATGGAAAGAACAATTGTGATATATTTCCATTGTTTGTTAATATTGCCTTGCATGGCTTCAACTTGCACAATCATTTTATATGGCCTCATGTTATCCTGCAAATCAGGATTGCCTGAGTATGTATAAACACACACAAACACACATGCAAGAAAGTTCATGTTTTATAATTAGGGTACGTATCATGAGAATGGGGTTGGAGTAGGATATCACGCTATAGAGAATATGAGTTTTAAACCTAGAAAAGTCTCTGAGCCACTTTTGCTTCTTTTACTTCCTAACTTTGAGCAAGTGATTTACTTTCTCTGATCTTTAATTTCCTCACCTGTAAAACTGGAATATTAACTTAAAAATTTTGGGGCGAAGAACGGTTCAAAATACATGCTGGAATTCTTCCCAGCCTCTATACATTAGTGGAAAGGTTTTTGGTCATTTGTTTTGGTGGGATTGTAAGTGGAGGAGTGAAGGGAATGAAAGTCTTACTGGCTGCCCTCTGATTTTATGATATATTAAATGAAAATATTTTTTAAAAACTAATTCTAATATATTCTTTGGGGAATAGAAAATACTAGTACGGGAAACAAATGGAGAGTCTGGTTGTTTGCTTTGTGGTAAAAGTAACATAATATATAAATTAAGTGAATTTCTGTAACTTTAAACTATAAGATCTTGTGCAACAATTTATAATAGTAGAGGTAAATGGAAATAACATCATGTTGCAGGTGCAACAATTTATAATAGTAGAGGTAAATGGAAATAACATCATGTTGCAGCATACTCAATCACCAAAAAGTTTAGATTACAGAGATACACAAATTTTGTTCTCTAGAAAATTCCATCTAAAGTCCAAAAAACACCAAAAGTTAAGTTATAACAATTTCTATTTTGATGATATAATTTCCCATTAGTGATAGAAGGAGCCCAGTCTTGGTTTTATTCAATCTGTTTTAAGCAAGATACTTGAAATTTTGTGTGTTGACACCTTTCTAAGACTCTCTAAAACTTTTCTAGCTTGTTAGATTATTTTTATACAGCATCAAATACCTTGACTTAATAATACGGGAATTGCATTGCTAGTTTCCAATGACTGGAGAAAATAATATAACTCTAGGTTGTTGCCATTAAAAATGAGTGATTTTACCTTACAGTTATATAATAGTGGAAATCTTACAACACTATAGTTTTATATAAAGTACACAGTTGCATACAGTTTTATATAGGGTTATATACAAACATAGATGGGTCCTTTAAAAATTATATAGTCTCAATTTAGGACTAATCCAAATATAGAATAATCTCTCATTACCCTAATGAGAAGACCTAGGAAAAGGCTTTTTTGCTTTATTCTACTTTCACAAAAAGTAACTTTATTTCAACTCTTTTTTTTTTTTTTTTTTTTTTTTTTTTTTTTATTTTTTTTTTTTTTTTTTTTTTTTTTTTTTTTTGAGACAAAGTTTTGCTCTTGGGCCACTGCAACCTCTGCCTTCCAGTTTCAAGCGATTCTCCTGCCTCAGCCTCCCGAGTAACTGGAATTACAGGTGCTCCCCACCATGCCCAGCTAATTTTTGTATTTTTAGTAGAGACAGGGTTTCACCATTTTGGCCAGGCTGGTCTCCTACTCCTGACTCCGTCCACCTTGGCCTCCAAAAGTGCTGGGATTACAGGCCTGAGCCACTGTGTGGCCTTTTTTCCAACTTTTTATCTTGCATTGGTAACATCAATACAATTGTAATTACATAATCAATATAAATATCACCACTAGAATCACTTTTTGAATCACCTGACATAGTTTTCCGGTATCCTTGATTTTCAATTCCAACTACAGTACAGCAATTTCTAAAACCAGTGACATTGTCTCCAAAAATTTTGTAGCAAATCGGAAGTATTCTCATACATTAGGCAATGTTTTCATTGGAGATCTTTACAAGTAACCACATACTCTAAATGATTTTCAACAGGCTTACAATGATGCAGTGATATCCCCAGGAATCATTTTATACCTTGGCCTTCTTTTTAATTGATTCTCTCAAGAGTCTCCTAGAAGAATACCAAACTAACATAGATTGAGGTCAGATGGGTATAATTTTTATTCTCCAAATAGTAGTTTATTATTCAGACTAAAGCTACCAAGAAAGCATCCTTGACTATGAAAATATTTTATTTTTATTTTTTTTATTTTATTGCATTTTAGATTTTGGGGTACATGTGAAGAACATGCAAAATTGTTGCATAGGAACACACGTGGCAGTGTGATTTGCTGCCTTCCTCCCCATCACCTACATCTGGCATTTCTCCCCTTGCCATCTCTCCCCAGCTTCCCACCCCCCACCGTCCCTCCCCTATTTCCCCCCAACTGACCCCAGTGTGTAGTGCTCCCCTCCCTGTGTCCATGTGTTCTCATTGTTCAACACCCGCCTATGAGTGAGAACATGCGGTGTTTGATCTTCTGCTCTTCTATCAGTTTGCTGAGAATGATGGTTTCCAGGTTCATCCATGTCCCTACAAAGGACCCAAACTCATCGTTTTTGATGGCTGCATAATATTCCATGGTGTATATGTGCCACATTTTCCCTATCCAGTCTATCGTCGATGGGCATTTGGGTTGGTTCCAGGTCTTTGCTATTGTAAACAGTGCTGCTATGAACATTCGTGTGCACGTGTCCTTATAGTAGAACGATTTGTATTCCTTTGGATATATACCCAGTGATGGGATTGCTGGGTCAAATGGAATTTCTATTTCTAGGTCCTTGAGGAATCGCCACACTGTCTTCCACAATGGTTGAACTAATTTACACTCCCACCAACAGTGCAAAAGTGTTCCTATTTCCCCACATCCTCTCCAGCATCTGTTGTCTCCAGATTTTTTAATGATCGCCATTCTAACTGGCGTGAGATGGTATCTCAATGTAGTTTTGATTTGCATTTCTCTGATGACTAGTGATGATGAGCATTTTTTTCATATGTTTGTTGGCCTCACGTATGTCTTCTTTTGTAAAGTGTCTGTTCATATCCTTTGCCCACTTTTGAATGGGCTTGTTAGTTTTTTTCCTGTAAATCTGTTTTAGTTCTTTGTAAATTCTGGATATCAGCCCTTTGTCAGATGGGTAAACTGCAAAAATTTTTTCCCAATCTGTTGGTTGCCGATTCCCTCTAATGATTGTTTCTTTTGCTGTGCAGAAGCTGTGGAGTTTGATTAGGTCCCATTTGTCTATTTTGGCTTTTGTTGTCAGTGCTTTTGGTGTTTTGGTCATGAAGTCCTTGCCTACACCTATGTCCTGAATGGTTTTGCCTAGATTTTCTTCTAGGGTTTTTATGGTGTTAGGTCTTATGTTTAAGTCTTTAATCCATCTGGAGTTAATTTTAGTGTAGGGTGTCAGGAAGGGGTCCAGTTTCTGCTTTCTGCACATGGCTAGCCAGCTTTCCCAACACCATTTATTGAACAGGGAATCCTTTCCCCATTGCTTGTTTTTGTCTGGTTTGTCAAAGATCAGATGGTTGTAGATATGTTGTGTTGCCTCTGAGACCTCTGTTCTGTTCCATTGGTCTATATCTCTGTTTTGGTACCAGTACCATGCTGTTTTGATTACTGTAGCCTTGTAGTATAGTTTGAAGTCCGGTAGTGTGATGCCCCCCACTTTGTTCTTTTTGCTTAGAATTGACTTGGCTATGTGGGCTCTCTTTTTAAGTATTCAAATGTAAGGTAACTTTCTTCCTGGGGAGTGTTTTAGGAAAAAAACTAAATGTATATGGTGTTTCTTTATTTAATCCCTCTCCCTTCACATAAATCACCTATTTCAAGCCTTCACTACCCTAAGTTCCTTCACTGCCAACGAATCCCTCCTTTTCAACATAGGGACCTATCTCCTTCACAGAGAAAAGAGAAATCTTTAGAAAAGGAATTTTAAGGTGATTCAACTGTCTTTCCCCCAACAAATTAATTTTTCTACTCTTTCATTTGCTCTCACCTCCTCTTTGGTCTCAGTACTGTCTAAAGCTCCCTGCACCTGAATCTCCTCTCCAGTCCCCTCTCCTCCACTGCCTTGCTTCATCGATCTCTCTCTACTAGAGCACAAGTGAAAACTCCAGGTGCGGCTGGGCCGGTGGCTCAAGCCTGTAATCCCAGCACTTTTGGAGGCTGAGGAGGGTGGATCATGAGGTCAAGAGATGGAAACCATCCTGGCCAACATGGTGAAACCCTGTCTCTACTAAAAATACAAAAATTAGCTGGGTGTGGTGGCGTGCACCTGTAGTCCCAGCTACTCGAGAGGTTGAGGTGGGAGAATTGTTTGAATCTGGGAGGTGGAGATTGCAGTGAGCTGAGATTGTGCCACTGCACTCCAGCCTGGCACCTGGCGACAGAGTGAGACTCTGTTTCAAAAAAACAAAAAAACTCCAGGTGCTTCCACCTCAAAACCTCCCCAGTAGGATTTGTCTCCCTCAAGACAGTGTGCTTTGAGTTTTCTTTCTATCAGTTGAGCTTACTCAGAATAGTCTATATCCAATTCTTTAAATACATATTATAAAAGTTACTAAACATCCACAAAAATAGAAATATAATGAACCCCAAATCAGTTTCCTTCAATAAGCATTAATTTTCTGTCACATTTGTTTCATCTGTGCAGCTGCCTCTTTTTTTGCTTAAGCATTTAAATATATATATATATATATATTTATTTATTTATTTATTTATTTATTTATTGCACTTTAGGTTCTGGAATACATGTGCAAAACATGCAGGATTGTTGCATAGGTACATACATGGCAATGTGGTTTGCTGCCTCCAACCCCCCGTCACCTATATCTGGCATTTCTCCCCATGTTATCCCGCCCTGATCTCCCCACCCCCCCTTGCTGTCCCTCCCTTATTCTCCCCTGCAACAGACCCCAGTGTGTGATGTTCCCCTCCCTGTATCCATGTGTTCGCGTTGTTCAACACCCACCTATGAGTGAGAACATGTGGTATTTGATTTTCTGTTCTTGTGTCAGTTTGCTGAGAATGATGGTTTCCAGATTCATCCATGTCCCTACAAAGGACACAAACTCATCGTTTTTCATGGCTGCATAGTATTCCATAGTGTATATGTGCCACATTTTCCTTGTCCAGTCTTACCATCGATGGGCATTTGGGTTGGTTCCAGGTCTTTGCTATTGTAAACTGTGCCGCAATGAACATATGTATGCATGTGTCTTTGTAGTAGAACGCTTTCTAATCCTTTGGATATATACCCATTAATGGGATTGCTAGGTCAAATGGAATTTCTTTTTCTAGGTCCTTGAGGAATCGCCACACTGTCTTCCACAATGGTTGAACTAACTTACACTCCTACCAACAGTGTAAAAGTGTTCATTTTAAAACAAGTGCTGGATATCATTTCTCCCTTACATTCTTCAGTGTGAATATTAAAAAAGACACTTATTTAGATAACCACAATGCCACTATTCACACTTTGCAAAACTATACATGATTATTTAACATCACATAATACTTAGTCAACTTTCAAATTGTCCCCAATAGGCTAAAAGGTGCCTATTGTGGGGGAGCATGCACTCACACAGGTGCCCAAATAAGGTCACTCATTGTAACTGATTATCCCGTATATTTCATTTCAAAATTTATTATCTAGACAAGTGACCTTCATTTTTCTTCCCCCACCCCCATTCCAGTTTTTAAAGAATCTGGATCAGTTTTCTACAGAATGTCCTACATCTTGATTGTTTTGCCCCAGATCTTGTCCTTTATTTGCTGTGTATCCTGTAAACTGGAATTCAGCTCCCAAGGCTTCATTGCATTCAGGGGTTTGTTTTGTTTTATTTTGTTTAGGTCGGGAGAATAACTCTCTATAGTTCTTTCCTTGGCATCATTTCCGTCGCTGGACTTTCAGCGACCGACAGCGAGCTGTTGGAGGTGCGGTGGGGCCCCTGGGCCCTGGCTTTTCTCAGCTCACACTGCACACTGCACCCCTCTGCTCTGCTGTGCGTCCCGTCCTGCGGGGCGCCCTTGCTGGCGGGATACCGGTTGGCCTCTGCCTGCGGGAAGCAGTAAGTGACCAGAGACTGGAAGGCAGTAGAAACCCAGGATGCTCCTCCTCTTTCGGCTCCCGCGGGGGCGGAGGTTCTAGCTGCTGAGGAGGCCGACCACAGCCTCCGATCCCCGGGTTTCACGCCCTCTCCTTCACGCTGCTCTGTCCTCTTTCTTCTCCCTTCTGTGCTCTCAGTCATCTGAAACTTGTTTTGATCAATTCTTTGTGTGAAATTCCGTTTCCTCTATTTAAACAACAAGGAGCTTTCCTGTGCGGACAGTGACCCGCATACCTTCTTCACAAAGTTCCCCTTACCCTCTCACTGAAAGATGGGCTTCAAAACGGTGATTCTCCATTCCATTCAATCCACACTTATTAGCTGGAATCGTTTTGACTAGAAAAACTGCCTCAGCCACTAGAGCTATTTGGTGAGGAAACATAAAACCAAGCAAAACGAGTCACTGTCTAAACAAAACAGGAGCCGGATTCAGCCTGAAGGCCACCTTTGCAGCCCTGGTCTGCAGCACAGCCGGCACATGCCTTAGCATGGCGCATAGGTCCTTCCTCAAATCATCAGTGCATGCCTTGTCTCCCACCAGTCCTTCCGCCTTAGCTCCGAATACCCATTTGCAAAACAGACTTACATTTTCAAAAGTCTAGCATGCTCCTTCTTTGGTCTCTCTGTCTTCCCCAGCAATTCTATTTGTCAGGCATGACCTTTTCCCCTGTCTGCCTGAAGAATGTCTACTTATCCCTTCAGATTCTGCTCAATTATTACCTTCTTAAGAAAGTCTTTCTTGATATTTGTATGTGGAGTTAAATACTTAAATACTTCTTCCTTTATATGTTCTCATGTTTATTCCCCATTACCACTATGATAATGCTAGCCTCTTTCTTTCTCTTTCTATCTTTCTCTCTTTCTTTCCTTCCTTCCTTCCTTCTCTCTTTCCTTCCTTCCTTCCTTCCTTCTTTCTTTCTTTTTTCTTTCTTTCTTTCTCTCTCTCTCTCTCTCTCTCTCTCTCTA